CAAGAACCCCCACCAACAGTTCCAGCACAGAATTTCCCCCTCTCATTGCATCGGCTACATCACCTATTTTCGCTGCTATTGCCGTGCCTGCTCCTGTAGTCGCTCTCGCCAGGGTAGTCGTCGAATTGTTAAGGCCCCGACAATACGATCTCGTTGAGTCTTCTATGACTTTGCTCAAGGACGATCCGCTTGAGCCGCCTTCATGAACCCTCGCTTTGTCGGTCCCTGTTCTGCATGCCTTGCTTGAGCTGTCCGACTCTTCCGTCCCCGTTGCCTCGGATCCGACTGTCGGTGATGGTTCCTGTCGTTTCCCTGGGAGTGACTCCGATGCCATCGTGTTGTCGCACTGGATGGATGGTCGATCAAGTTTCCACGTCATCGCGTCCCACAATGCCTTCTCGAAAGACAGCGGCAGTCTCTTCTCTCTCCGCTGCTCAATTGTTATGTCAAAATACGATGGCTCCCCCGACTTCTTATGTTGCTTGCCGAGGATGAGCTTCGCCGTTGTCATCTTGTTGGTCCACTTCTTCCGGCAATCCTCTGCTGTCCTGTGCATGTACCTGACTTCCTTCATCCGTGCGAGCACCCATGCGTACCGATCCTTCATCGCCATCATGCGGTGTTGGCCATTGGCGTCCGCCATGAGGGCGTCGTCCTCTTGCATCATCCTCGCGAGATGGATCCTCTCCTCCAACGTCCACGGCACCTCGTGTTTGGGGTTGCTGGTCGGAGGCCGCCCACCACGACGCTTCTGCTGATTACCCTTCGCCGCATTCACATCCTCGCCTGGACGCCCTTCAACCCCCTCTTCTACACGACGACCACCATCTTCACCGTTCATCTCCCCCGACTGCGTGGAAGTGCAGTCCTCGTCGTCTCCTTCATCTGCCGCGTAACTGGACCCGCCAGTGTCATCATGCCATGTGCCCTCACCATCGCCAACTCCTCCAGGCGTCCAACCGGTTGTATCCGCCGACACTTCACTGTTGTCATCGCTGTCGACGTCTATCATGGACGCCGACTGATCGCTCGAAGTGCGTCTGCATGACGAGGGGGAAGGAATGGACTTGCCCCCAAATGTGAGCTGAGTACTTTGCCCCAACGTCCGCCGACTGCTTTGCCCACACGGGGGCGACCATGGCGGCTCCGCTCCAGAGCCATACCCACCATCCATGGCCTGAGATGCAGGGAAGACCTGACCGGAAAGCCAAACGTTGTTCCCGCGGGCATGGATTGCACACCTGGTGGTGCATGCCCGCCAGCAAGCTGTGCGCTGAACAAAGCGTTAGCGACGTACCCTGCCCCGACTGGCATCGTCTGTGGTGCGGGCCGCAAAGGGACTGCATGTGCGGCATCGACATCCCGGGTCCCGAAGGAACTCCCATGGCCTGCCCATGCATTCCGTCGACAGCTCCCCTGTGGAACGGTAGCATACTTGGGGATGGGGAGGCACTATATGCGACACCTGCATGTTATCGAGGATCTGGCACCTGAAAACCGCCTTCCCCACCGGCATTCGGATCCGCCCTCCACCTCGACGAATCCATCACAACGCAAGATGTGCGAAAGATCCGATCTTTCCCCCACCCCGGAGAGTGACAGGCCCTTGGCACACCTGTTTGCGCAACAATCTGTTGCTACGCACACAGCGTGAACACGGCCAACAACAGTACCACTCCGCACAGAATCACCGCCAACAACACCGCTGCAGCCAAGGCGAAGAAGAACAACAGCACCACAAAAGACGCATTCACATGATAACACGGCCGGTCGCTGTCATCCACCCCGTTCGTTACGAAGATGTAAATAGGACGGCAGTAGCAGCACTGATGATGATCGACCGTCGACCGTGTTCGAAGATCACGCACTCCCACTTCGCCACTGATCGGCAACGGGCCATGCACGTATTCACGTGCATTCACACCGTCCACAACGGCTCTCTCCGCCATGCCAGAGCGGTTGTGCGAAGATCGAACATGCGGAGGTGGGTTTGAAGAACGAGCAACCACCGTGCCGATCCCGGACAAGCGTGGAAGGATCACCCCTGCAGCAAACGACGAGGAAGGCCGAACCGCCAGATAGGAATATGCACTGCACACTCGTGTGGGCAGGAGCCCTTGCCTCCGTGATGGTGCTGGACATGCACGCGCCCAACTTCGACCCGTGCCGTGGACATAACGATGACGGCAACATCCCACAGCACCCCCTTCAGACAACTACCTCCAACCGCGCACACACGCCTCACGGCTGCTCCTCGCTACACGAAGAACCGCCGACATTGTTAATGGGCGACTGTGTATGAAGTCGACGATGGCCGGCCCGGACTGCGCATGCTCCAGCACTGCATGGATGGCCGACATACGCACTCCGCGAATTTGAATTTCCCSCCYCCCCAMAAAAAAAAAAAAAAAAAAAAAAAGGGGAAAAACAACCCATGCGAAGCAGACGACACCCCCCCTGCGGAACGCCCCGCTCCTACAGCCCAAACCAATTCGAATTTTGCGTTCGTTACAAATTCGGCACACGGGACCGCAAGCCCCCGCGGAACGGAACTGTCCCACACCCGAACGGTGCGAAGCACGACTGTTGTCCGTGGTTTGAAGAAACGGTCCACCCCATCGTGCACTGGACCAGGCCCCCCGTGCCCTGGTACGGCATCTCAAGAGATGCCCCCCCCCCCCCCTCTCAAAAAACAATGGTTTTGGAAAACTGTCGCCGAACGGTCAGATAGTTTCTTCCAGCCGCCGACCGTGTGGAAACGCTTCCGACGGTTTTCCACGACAGTCCGGCATTGGCAGTGGGGTCCCGAATTCGCATTGGTGCACCTTCCTGGCGGTCCAGTGGGGTCCACTAAACATGGAAATGGAAAATGAGTTCCACGCCGCCGGCCAGTGGGGTCCACGCCTTAGCCCACTGGATAGAAGATTTTCTTCATTTTACTTGCTGTTGTGCAATTATCTCATTGGGTGGAGCCCTCCTTCAATCACGGAGTAGAAGGAGGGTGTCAGGATCACTGCTGTCAGAAGTCGAGTTTATTCGAGAAAATGTGGCGGTTACTTTGTTCACTGTTTTTGCAACCACCACCATCAGATCATTTGTGATATGATGGCTGGGAAGCACGCTGCTGTGATTTCTGGTGGGAGGTCTCTGTTTCTTCTTTTTTCTTTGGCCTTTTTCCTGTTTTCTCAGCCCAGAAATTCGTGATTAACTTGTCTGGCCGCTGCCACTCAGTGTCACACTGGATCGGCCACACTCCTATCCGACTGCTAATGGGACCTCACCCCAGGAGGTCATGGGTTCAATCACCATCCGCCTCACGCACGTGCCTGGGCAAGGTTGGCCCTCCACGCCAGCATTGGCAGGACAATATTGTTGGTTACTATGTAGCATTGATGTCGACCACTAGACTTGTCGAGTTTTGGAAGGGGGTAGGGGGAAGTGTGAGTGATTGGCCGAAGTGCCGGTTTCCCTGTGGGCAATGCCTGAGCACCCCACATGTAGCGGACCCACCAGGTGTGGTGCTCCGCTAGTGACAGAGATGGAGATGGAGGAAGAAGGGGGAGCAAGATGGCACAACGCAGCTCCCCACGCAAGACTCCAACGCACGTACTCCAAAATGTGCAAGTGAGGAATGAGACTGAAAACAGACAATGGCTGGGGTATACCCCAGCGGACTGGACTGGACTGGCTGGTACCGACAGAGGTACCGGCCTGGACTGGCCTACCCCGAATGTAACACAGGCCTGTGAGAACAGGCCAAGGGGCTGGTCTCACAGGCCAACCCGAGGTCCGCTACACCACATCACAGTGATGAGGGGCTGATACAAGCCTTGCTCTCGCACCACTGCTGTGGTGCCAACTTACCCCGTGAGCTGGGGCTGGGGAGAGTTCCAGGCTTGGTTGGTGTTCCCCCGGGGCCGTGTCCCACTACCGGGGGTTTAGTTTATGTTTCATGTATTTTCCAACGTGGTCACACTATGGCCGTGAGATTTTCAGATCAGATGGCAAGGAGCCGAACAAAACCTCGAGAAGTGGGACTTGGCCCCCGTACTATACATAGAGTAGTGGGAGGATGAGATAGATGAGGAAATTATATACAAAGAAGATTGAGACAAGAATATGTAGATTAGTTAAAAAAGAAAGAAAA